GACCTCTGCACCCGGTTGTGTGAGGTCGCCCGTAGAGACACCCGGGAGCAACATCCGGGCCAAACCCACAGCTACATCCACCGTGTAGACCCGACGCGTCCGTTTCCCCCCTCCAGGTGCCGGCGTTATCCATGAGGGGGGCACACCGCGGACGTGAGGGGGGTCACACTCTGGAGACGGGTGTCGGGCGTTTGCAACCGCCACAAAACTTTTGTCGGCATAGCTGTTTTTGATTTTAATAAAATATAATGATCTATATTCAAAAGAACATGACCGCACATTATTAACGTGCTCGAAAAAATACAAACCATATATATATATTCATAATATATGAAAAAAATACAAACTACATATATATTCATACGTATGTTTATATTTAACATGCTACATGTTAGTTTATATAATAATACATAAAAAAGCTTAAAAAAATACATATGAAGAAAAAGTCTACCTATGCCGACGGCTATGCCGTCGGCATAGAGACGGCCAGGTTTTAGGCGGTGGGCGGCGTGCCGCGGATCGCTGACGTGGCTGGTATGCCGACGACAGCCGTCGGCTTAGCACGTGGACGGTGCGCCGCGGATCGGTGACGTAGCATGACGATATATGCCGATGGCCGCCTGTCCAGGCCGTCGGCATAGATTTGACGACGTTAGCCGCTGGTCACAGGCGGGGTCGCCGGGCCCACGGTTATGCCGACGGCCTGGGTATGCCGACGGTTGTTGTCGCCATGTTCGCAGCTGGGCCGACGACATATGTATGCCGACGGGTGCCGTCGGCTTAGCTCGTGGTTGCCCGACGGCCAAGATATGCCGACGGCCAAGACGTGGCTGTCGGCATAGCGCAAAGTAGGCCGACGGCAGCCGTCGGCATTGATTTGGCCGTCGGGGTAGGGCCATTTTCCGGTAGTGAAAATAGCTGGTACAATGTGCTTGCATGCGGTCAGAAAAATATCTAAGAAAGTACAAGCTCAATCAATGCGTCTGGCATCTAATCTCTAAGCAAAATCAAGGGCTCTCTCATGCACGGGACCTCCCGTGCATGGGAGAATTGCTTTTCTCCGTCACCTTCAGAATAGGACTGCGTGATATTTTCCAGGAAGTACTCTAGCTACTCTCTAAAGTTTTGCAGCTCTCAAATAATGGTAATTCTGGCAAAAGATTAATTAGTAGGTAAAAAAGACGGAATTAAGTCATTCTAATATATGTGCACTCACCAAAAGAGAGGAGGAGATGCAAACGCAACACAAGAAGCGGGGGCTCTCGAGCAAGATGGACGAAAGAAGCCAAGGAGCGGGGCTTCTCGAGCAAGATGGACGAAAGAAGCCAAGGAGCGGGGGTGGTTAGTAGATGGAGCCAAAGAAGGAAACGACGATACCATGGGTTGGCAGTGAGCAGCACAATGTTGGCGTTACCAAGGCTTCTGTATAAATAGGAGGGCACCGGCCGGGAGGGATCACACATCAGAGCAAAAAGCCATCGCTCCCCTTCCATCCTCTCCTTCTATAGCCAGCCTCCGAGAGAGAGCGAGCGAGAGCCATGGACTTCGGCGACCACCAGCAGGGGGCCTCCGACAGCCAGCAGCAGCTGCAGGAGCGCCGGAAGCGCCAACGCCGCCACACACCGGAGCAGGTCCAGAAGTTGGAGGAGTAGGTTCTAATCTCTTAATATCTTATTTTTTGTCCATTTCCCGTGATTTGATGTTCTATGCATCTTCATACTACTGCGTACTAGACACTATAGTGATTGGCAGAAACTAATCAATTATGTATGTGTGGTGTGCGCGCTCAGGTCGTACAAGAAGTCCGATCACCCCAGTGAGATCGAGTGCGCTCAGCTTGGACGCGAGCTTGGTCTGGAGACCAAGCAGGTCAGATCCTGGTTCCAGAACCACCGGACACAGATCAAGGTATGGGTTATGGACTGGATCTCTGATTTGCTCCATAGTTTTCTATTTTTTCATTTTCTCGATCTCGTGTCCTCGATCCGTGATGCAATTAACGGGCTGGAATCTTTATGATGGCATGGCTGATTGAGCACGAGCGGCTGGAGAACCGCTTCCTCCGCTGGGAGAACACAAGTCTCCGCTCCGAGATCATGGCAGTGCGGGAGGCGCTCAAGAACTCCGCCACCTGCCCCCACTGCGTCCTCAAGGACTGCATCGACCAGCAGGAGCTCAATCGGGAGAACGCTCGCCTCAAGGCGGGGCTCCTCCACTGCACCACATCTTTCCAAGTAGGGCTGGACGTCCGAACGGGCTAATGGGCTCGGCTCGGAGCTTGCTCCAGCTCGGCCCGACTCAGCTCGGCCCGAGAGCTAAATAGGCCGAGCCGAGCCACGTGAAATGGGCCCGTTGGCCGACCGAGTCGAGCCTGTTTTGGCCCGGTCCAGCTCGGTGGCTCGTCCGAAGCCGAAGCCCAGGACGCGACGCAATCACGCAGCCCAGCAGAGGAGCGCAACCAGCCCAACCCAGCGAGTCGCATCGTCTCCACTGTCTCCTCCCGCCAGGGTTCGCTGCGCCGCCACCGCCGCCCCACGCTTCTCGCCAAGCTATTTCCTGCATGCCACCACGACGCATCCTGCCACCGGCGTCGGCACGCACGAGCGCATCCAGCGGCGGCAGCGCACGCACGCATCACCAGCCTGTTGATTGATTCTTGGACACAAGTACAAAACTTGAAGCACGTTGATTGAATCCTGGAGTTGGCTGGATGCACACGTACGAGAGGAAGCAAGATCAACTGCTACGGAGGCTAGCCACCTGCGTTCGACGCACCAGACGCCCGACCTCGCCATGCCGGCACGTCTCCGTCGTGCTCCCCTCAACGCCGTCAAGCCAACCTCGTCTGAGGCGCCCGTACGCCCACGCACCCAGCCTCCAGAGGCAAAACGAGCTGCTCGGGCTGGACCGGGCCATAGGCAAGACGAGCCGAGCCTCCAGATGCGGGCTCGTTCAACTAGCGAGCCGAGCCGAGCATGGCTCGTTCATGGCGAGCCAAATCTAGGCTCGGACCGAACTCGGCTTGGCTCGGCTCGTGTCCAGCCATATTCCAAGATGAACCCTAGCTTTACTTTTTGCATGTCGACGTTCCTCCGCCATGCTTTCGGCGAGGAAATTGTATGACCAAACATGCATAAGTTCGAATAAACTAGTACAAGGTTTCGAATAAGAGACATGATTTGGTCCTGAATAATTCTTAGTTGTCAGATCTTCATCGAGTCGTGGGCAATTTGTTGTGCCTTTGTGTTGTAACTGAGGACTGTGCCTACACAAACTGCCGCAGAAGTCTTGTACTCTAGTTCGTACTCATTTATTAGTTGGAGCCACCATAGGAAGCTCCAACATTACTCCTGGGAGAAGTCAGAACAAAGGAGATCTACCTACTCAATTCGATGTATGAGATTATATTTCATGAAAAGCCGGTTCTGCTACTTCTGTAAGAAACATGGTTTCCTTCGATAATACTAGTAGATAGCGTCGTTCCTTGTGTTGTGTGTTGTGACTTGTGAGTTGTAACTATTGTCCCGCTCGTCGACCGGCAGGACGCGGCTGCTTGGTTCCTCTCCGCAGCGTCAACCCTGTTAGATGTGAGACCGTGAGAAGCTCATCACCACATGGTCTACATCAGATAAAGTGGAGAGAGATCTAAGTATCTAACACGCCAAATCCAAGGAACAGGTTATTTGTTTAACAGCCTAAAATTGATAGGTTTTCCTAAATTCATCGCAGCTTTCTGGGCCCTTCTCATCAAAATTTAAGCATAAGATGGATTGTAGCATATCGATCTGACAATGCATACTGCCACGCAACTCAAAAAAATCCTGGATATGTTTGCCAACGCTACTGTCCTCTTGCTGAATCTTCACAAGACTACCTTCCTAGCTACCCATCCACGTCCAGCCCTCCATCGCTGCGGATGCGCCGTTTCTACCTCCCCCCAGCCCTATCTAGGCCTACTTCTTTCCCCCACCAAGCTCCCCTCTTCAGCCTTCCAACCGATCGTCCAATGCTCTCTCAAATACCTCAGCGGCTCGATTTCCTGTCTACTTTCTCGGCTCTCGGGGTGCTAGGTTGACCTTTCTTTCTTCTGTACTTGACTCTTGTTGTCTATTTCATGTCTGTTTTCGCATTTCCAACTTTTTTTTGAAAGAACTTGATGCAATTCGTCAAGCCTTTTTTTACGGCAGAGGAAACTTATAGAGACTCAATGTGTTATTGCTTGAAAAAATGTTTGCAAACCAAAAAATATGATGGTCCAGATTTGAAGAACTTTGCTTACTGAATAATTATGTACTAATGAAGTTTTCTCTAAATTAGTACCATAGTGGCTATATACACATGCTATTGCTGACAAACATAACCATTCGTTCCTCTGGAAAATTATAAACTCACAACTCCCCACCCTTCAAAAAATCTCAATCGTCGTCACGAATAATGGCCTCACCACTTTCTTTTGGACTGATACCTGGGTCTCCTTCCAAACACTAGCCGCTCTCTGCCCACACTTTTTTTCCTTCTCATTTAACTTAACATCCTAGTGTCGCTGGTCTTGCAGGGCGGAGAACCTCTTCCTCCGCGAGGAGAACACGAGGATCCTGTCCGAGAACATGGTCGTGCGGGAGGTGCTCAAGAACATCATCTGCCTCAACCCCAACTGCATCACCAAACACTACATCAACTAGCAGGAGGAGCTCAATAAGGAGAATGCTTGCCTCAAGGCGGGGTCCCTCAGATGCGCCACATCTTTCCAAGATGAGCTCTAGCTCTGCTTTTTGCATGTCGACGTTCCTCCTCCATGCTTCTGGCAAAGAAATTGTATGACCAAACATGCATAAGTTGGAATAGACTACAAGGTTTTGAATAAGAGTTATGATTTGCTCCTGATTCTTGGTTTTCAGACTTCCATCCAACCACGGGGCAATTTGTTGTGCCTTTGTGTTGTAATTTGTAAGTGATGAGGACTGTGGCTACACAATCCGGTTCGATCTGCTACTTCCGATTCCTTCGATATACTACTAGTTGTGACTATTGTCCCGCATCGCCGGTCGGCAGGATGCGCCTACTCAGTTCCTCTCCGCGGCGTCACCCTTGTCAGAGCATCTCTAGCAGACCCCGTAAAACCGGTCAAACCCTTATAATTTTCAGATTTTAAGGGTTTGGCCGAAAAAAATGTGCAGAACAAAAACCGTACAAGTGGTCCGACCTTTAATATTTTAAGAGGCACCGTAAACCCACACCCGAAACCCATATATTTGAAGGTTCGAAGGCCAAACTAAGGGCGACCCTTATACCGGTCAAACCTCGTCGGGAAGGATGCGCTGCCGCAATTCCACCGCATAGCTCACCAGAATCATCAGTTGCCCACCAGAATCGGCGGCCACCCGCCGGAATCAGACGCCGGTTGTTCAAATTGGGGACGGAGAAGGACGGGGCGAGGTGGCCGGGATGAGCGCCATCTCGCGGATGTGACCGGCCGCCGCCGGGGGCGTTCGGGGGACGGCGGGGAACCACTACCGGAACAGGGTGCTACCCCGACGGCCAAAACAATGCCGACGGCCATCGTCGGGTTCCTCGGAGATATGCCGACAGCCTGGTCCTGGCCGTCGGCGTATCCAGGCCGTCGGGTTAGACGGAGCTAAGCCGACGGCACCCGTCGGCATAGAACGGCCGTCGGCCTATCTGCAAGTACGCCGACAGCTGCTGTCGGCTTACAAGGGCCGTCGGCATAGTGGTGGGCCCGGCGACCCCGCTGTTGACGGGCGGCTAACGTCATCAGAGCTATGCCGACGGCCGAGGCGGGGGGCCGTCGGCATAGGTCCGCACGCCACGTCACCGATCTGGGCCGCACCGTCCAAGACATATGCCGACGGCTGCCGTCGGCATACCTGCCACGTCAGCGATCCGCGGCACGCCGCCCGCCGCCTAAAACCTGGTCGTCTCTATGCCGACGGCTCATAGCCGTCGGCATAGGTAGACTTTTTTTTCATATATATATTTTAAAGCTTTTTTATGTATTATTATATCAACTAACATGTAGCATGTTTAATATAAACATACATATATATATATATAGTTTGTATTTTTTCGAGCACGTTAATAATGTGCGGTCATGTTCTTTTGAATATAGATCATTATATTTTATTAAAATAAAAAATAGCTATGCTGACAAAAGTTTTGTGGCGGTTGCAAACGCCTGACACCCGTCTCCAGAGTGTGACCCCCCTCACGTCCGCGGTGTGCCCCCCTCATGGACGGCGCCGACACTTGGAGGGGGGAAACGGACGCGTTGGGTCTACACGGTGGATGTAGCTGTGGGTTTAGCCCGGATGTTGCTCCCGGGTGTCCCTACGGGCCGACCTGACACAACCGGGTGCAGAGGTCCACTGGTCAAAGCCCGTCCGTGGGAAGTCAAAAGG